AGTGCGAAGGACAAGTTTGAGGAGACCCAGATGCCTAAATCTTTTTTGGCATCTATCCTGATGATGTTTTCTGGTCCCTTTTCACCATGCATAACAAAGGCATTCGCTGAATCCCCTCCTGCAAATGAAAAGCATCCCCAGGAACCACCAAGACATGAAGCAGATGAGTATGCCCCAGAGACCCATTTTGAACCTTGGACTCAAACCCGGGGTACAACTTTTAAGTCTGCTAATCTTTCTGGTCACAAAACTCGGCTCCTCACTTTCGGAGGCGGTGGAGACCGTTGAAATGCTTGTCCACAAACTGTCTCAGCCTTTGCAACAAAATTTGCGATATTAAATACTCAGTTTGCCTTAAACAGCCGACCATAAGTACACTCACAGAGACCTGGTTAACGCCAAATGTGTCCGACGCGTAGATTTCGATAGACGGCTACTCCGTTTTTCGAGACTGATTCAAAACGAGGGAGGGCTGGTGGGGTTGCTTCGAACCTACATGCGGCCTTACACATCTCGATTGTCCTCTCTGATACCACTGCTGTATCTTTTTGTGATGCAATTGGATTCGAATTCCGCTGCGCGAGTCCGATTCTATCCTTCTAGGTGCGGCTTACCGTAGACCCTCCAGTCCTCTTGAAGGTGACCAATTCCTCATACGAACCCTTGAGCAATTCTCCTCCAGATACCATTTCACTCATCTGCTGGTGGGCGACTGCAACGCTACAAAGGCCTCCTGATTTGAACTACAAAACCTCGGTCAAGCAGACTTGTTGCAGCGGCGCTGACAGAAGTCGTTCAACAGAGCGCTTGGACCCAACAGGAAGTTGCAACCACCAGATAGCCTGCGGGCCAAAAGTCACCCCCCTGGATTTGGTCATCACCAACGAAAAACACTCTGTCGATCAGATGATAACTAACTCTCCACTGGGACGTAGTGAGCACTGTGTGCTGACGTTTGATTTCATCTGCTACTGGGCCAGAAATCCTGAACATAAAATGTGGATTCGAAACTTCATCTGTGCAGAGTTTTTAAGAATGTGCGTCTTCCTTGAACAGGTCCAAGTGGGGCCAGCTTCGGTGGTGGACTTACATTAGACAGTTGTCTAGAAAGTTCACGAGGCTGTCGCGATGTTCGTTCCAAAAAAACCAGCACGCAGTCGGATGGACAAGCTACCTAAAAGGATTCGGTGTCTTCTGGAACAGAGTTCTCAACAGAGTTCTCCAAGATGTATTCCTTATAACCTTCTGGACCTTTTGTTTGGATTGAACCATCTCGGTTTTCCGCTGCAATTTCCGCAGCTACAGCGATTTTACCTACGGTTTGTTCGGTCCTATGCGTTAGCACTACCACCCAGTCGAAAATATCCTTTACACCTAACTTCCCTAAAACGGAGACACCAGTGAGTCTACTTAATTTCAATGTAAGCCGTATTTTTGAAGCGAAAGGCGCCATTTTTATTCACTTTGGGGTTCTCTGATTACATCTTCATTATTGCTTTTTCTGACTCTGACCATTTACTCAACCGCCCAGGATGAATCGAGGCCAGTAACCGTTGCTCAGTTTTGTTTCAAGTTACCCGGCTTCACCATTAAACTAGTCATACATTCTTCCCAATTGTTTTCGTTTTTTCATGTGATAAGCATGTCTCGCTGTTTGTTGCCCGACGGGTTCAGGTTGCAACAACATGATCATGCCTCAACTGACATGTTCCCTACTGTATGGAAAATAAAAACATTGTTATTTGCTCATGACGACTAGTACTATGCATAGCCTCGACGGTGCTGACGTGCGAGAAACGTAAAGCAGAGCTATTGTTGTGCTTAAAACGGTCACCATCAGACTCCGCAAAAATTGCGCTTAAACAGCTTGACTATAGCCGAAGGGATGTTATCTACCTAAGGATAAAAACCGCAAACGTTGACCCGCATACAGGTGCAGGTAGGAATGTAACGCGTTGGTTGTGGACATCTAGAGTTGGCAACAATTTCATGAATTCAGCCCCAGCATATCACCGCGCATCCGAGGACGGCGCTCCGTGTTTTAGCGTGTGTCTGTATTTCTGTAAAGGATCACCATCAAGAATTCATGACACTGGAGGTGTTATAACATAAACGAACTTCCGGTACATTGTTTGCTGTCTGTCACCAAGAAATTCACTAAACCTACTTGCCGCGACGAATCCAGTGGCTTTGCCTGGTTGATTCCTACAGTAAACATAGAAGGCTTTATCATATAAAGTCCGTGAACGGACCTTCTTCGAGACCACGCAGACAGAAACGTAATCTTTATTCACGCACCCCTGCAAAGTATTTTCAAATGTAGGAGAGTACAAAATAGAGGCATTAGCCTTTCTACGAAATATTTTTCCACATTCTCTGGCCCATCCCGTGTGCCGCTACCATAGGGTTTTCGAAGTTTTAACTTTCACCGTCCACACTTTTCAGTTGTCTGTTGCTCGTTGCATTTTGTTTAAGCTGGCACCATTTCAAGGTCACGGACCATCACCGACGCATTTTGTTACCGGTCTACGAGGGATAACTCACAGAATCTCACTTTGACGTATTATAGCGTTCTTCGCTATATTTTAAGAAAGAGATGACACCTACAGAATACTCAATGCCAATTTTTCCCAGAAAGATCGGTCACTGACGTTTGTTTGCTTTGTACACTTCAGATTTTAACAAACGACATGATTTTTTTCGGAAGTCTCGGCAAAAATTCTCTATCCATAGGGCTCGCCTTTCATCAAGTGATGACTCAGGGGCCATCTCTGTTGAAGAACCACTTTCCAAGACACGCGTAACAGCTTGTGTGTGGCGCAGCGTTACGAAGTGACTGAGGGTAATTTATCAACGCGATGTTATTATTCTTATCAGGAATATGATTCTGTGTATGTAAATGCGTAATAAAGTGCAGACTTACTGATTGAAACCAAGGGCATCCATTGCCAGTCACCTTGATGACGGTATCCGTTATCATTCAGCTCGACTACCCATGGGCCCACGTCTATGTGCGACGCTGATTATGAGACCTCACCTATGCACGGTAGCTTAACCTGATGGCCAACGACGGCCAGTCGTACCCATACCCGTACGCGATGTCCTTATTCTTTGATACTTATTGTAAAAACCAGAAAAGCACCCATGCGGGCTGATGAAAATGGGGCCCCAACTATGAGTGATACCATAATCTGACGGCCAACGACACCCATACCTGTATTTACTGTCGCCTGCCTTGGCTACTCATCGTAAATTCCGGGCCCTTGTCTATGTTCCGTGTTGTCTATAGGTACGTGCGGTTAACTAATCAAATGACGAACTGTTGCCCGTTATATTCATGACTTCATTAGATTGCGCCTACCTTGGCTACTTGTGGCAACTGCCGGTATCCATGCTCGCAGATGATTATAACACTCCAAATATATATGATGGACTAACCCAACCACCAACGTCGGCCCTTCGCATCCATACATATCGTCCGTCTGCGAACACCATCCCCGAAAAATACACGACTGCCCCTAGCGAAACATATCTCTATTTATTGGTTGCATCGATACAAATTTAGTCTAGTCAGTCCAGTTCTGTTTCAGGAAGCCGCTTTCATTCAACAGGGTTTCTGAAGGGAAGAATACATAATGATTTACGACTCGTACATGTCTTCCGCGATAGTATTTAAAACATTTTATTAAACAAAGTTGTGGTGGCTAACTCGCCGGTCGCTTGGCGAATACCGTTGTCTGAAATTCCGGATCGGTGTGCACGCTATATCTATTTCTATATCTACATTATACGGTTATTAAGGTAAACCCACTTTTTGCTCAATCAGTCCCACAGGCGATAGTGAGAAAGGTTGTGTGTACACCGATGACTCGACAGCAGAATTTGCCAACCATATTCGTTTTCGAGTGCAGTGTAGTTGAACAAGGGCATATGCTAGTCAGTCGTAAGAATATGTGGTATAGATCCGAGCCCAAGGGTCCAAGAACCACATGTATCCCATTCTTAGGCTCCATTCCACGTCTGTCATATTGGTTTGGGCCTCATCCAACCCATCGTTTATGCCGACGTTTAGCAACTCATCTTTACTTCGAAAATCGTGTCTACAATATCCAAACAGACGACCCAAGATTGTCCTTAATCTTGTGTATCAATCAGTGAATCCGTGATGCGACCCAACTGATCCAAATAATGATGATTTTACTGTAGATGCAAATTCCACTATACCTCATGGCCCAGGAACACATCCTTCAACACACATCAAGGTACCATGCACCATGAAAATGCCAGTACTCCTGTTTTCACACCCTGAGTGGTCTATTGACATCGACAACCAGAATCCATCTCCTTATTGTAACCTACATGTTCATCCGAATATATCCCACGTGACTGACTTTTTCCGGCAAGCCAATCGGTCTTGTGCTGCTGGAAGTATTCCTTAATGAAAAATTCCGCTACACAACCAAAATAGGTTTCTCCTTGTCGTTTCACTGATTCGTGACACCAACCAACGTAAGTTGCGGTCATGAGACAGCGATTATAGAAGACACAAAGATATCTTAGTTCCGCTGCTTGAACATATCAAGTACCACAGCCAAACGAGGAAATAGCCTATGCTGCAGTCCGGTACGCACGGTTCCTGATATTCAAGGATGTACCGCTCTGATGCCATAGGTGTTTCAAAGTAACAAACAAATTAACCCTATCCTGCAGATCCGTGTATTGTCTTCATTTGGCGCACTATAATTAGAACTAATACACCTTCGACTGCTCACAAAACGCTCCACAAATTTACTTGTCACTCCTTGGAGTATAATTGAGGTGTTCGGCAACTGCATGTCCAGGAACACTGTGGTATAAATTACGGGTGCAAAATGCACACAAGCGGGCAGGATGATTTCGGTCGGTTCATCTAGGAACAGTTGCGATTTCTCTTACCATTCGAAGATGGGAACAACCTCGTCTGATTGTTCCAGGTTTCCGTCAGAAAGAATTTGAAAGCCGGGGTTCAGAAGGCATTTCAGCGTTCGTCTACTTATCTGATTGAGTGGAGTGAGCATCCCTAACGGACACCGCTTATGCACGGAATCTTCTGGAGAGCTCTCCATATCTTTCCTATCACGCCAGCCACATTTACATATCCTGTCTATGAAAATGCGAAGGATTGCAAGGTTGAAGACTCTCACTTCAACTGCATGTCCGCTTCCCAGAAATATCTCACCGTATCCCGAACCTCCTTATCCACCTTCTGCAATAGGGGAAATAGATAACTTACGTGGAAGCAACTTTTGTCGGACACCTGTGATGCTTGCCCTGGTTGTGGCATATATCCGGGTAATATTCCTGTGTATCAGAAAATTAATTGATGGCAGAGTAAAAACTGCCACAGATGTAGCTCGTTTTGCGAAGCTTCCATGCATTTCACTAAGCTGCAACCGCACTATTCTGCGGTCGCCTCATCGAATAAACGGGAAACAACTCCAGACATCCCACATTTTCTCTAATGTCTTGTCACTGCACGCTTTCAGCTGCCTAAGTTCAGCACAAATTAGCTAATGCACGCACATCATTATCACATGTGCCCTCGCCAGTTCGCGTCAACTGCAGATCTATTACCTACACCTGGATATCGTTTACTGTTTACGGGATCAGGGTGTGTGACCGAATTCGGGACGCAGTCAAACGCATACCA